TTGAGTATACTCAAGCTTAGTTAGAGTCTGCCTGATTCAGGCCATAAAACCGTCCCTACCCCTTCCCTGGACTCTGCTGTTGAAGTCCCCAATCCTGTTTTTAGTGACTTCAATCGGCAGAGAACCTCCTGCTAGAGATCCCTGCCCCATGCTGCGGAGGAAGGCGAAAAACCTCCAGAGGCTCAGCCAATCTGCCCTGGAGGAAAATTCCTTCCCGACCCCAAATATGGCGATCAGTAAGACCCCGAGCATATAGGCAAGAGTCTCCAGCCCGACCCCTGTTAGCCATTATACTATTTACCTACCATTGCTTGGCTTTCCTTGACTACTATGTTTTACCATTAAACCATTCTGTCCATAAACTTATCTAACTTAATCTTAAAACCAGACAGGTTAGAAAATTTGCTTAAAAGATTAAAGTCATTTTAATGATACTTAAGTAACATTTGTCTCTCCACAATACATTATAGTCTGAGGATGGTATTTCATTAACATTGGTAATATTTCCAATCTAATCTGTGGTGAAGCCATGAATGTATCAGGAAAGTTATCACAAAGTATTCCAATACAATGTTTATATCACACATTACCATCATGGATTTTCTTTATGATATATTTTAAAGTAAATGTATTCCAAAAAATAACAGGTTTTGCACCTCTTTGCATGTGAAGCCAACTGCCCCACTGGTTACTGTATATGCCTCAGAGTAGAAGAAAGGAAAATAATTTAAATCCAAACCAAGTTTTCAATTAGTCAGAGTATCACTGTTGAGGACAAGTATCCCTCTAAATACTATGCTAGAAACAATATCAGTGAAAAGGGGTTAAAACTGGATTCCCCAACTCCCCAGTGACAGAGCACTGCTATTTCTTGCCCTGTAGCTCACAAGACTCTGTCACTTGTTGAGGTCAGCACCAGGTTAATTTGAGGGAGATTTTCCACATTTGGAAGAAAAAAGGGGGAAAAATAGGAGGTTCATTTTAAAATACATAAATGGCAGCTCTGAAGCTCCTGAGAGGTTCGAAAGAATTAATGTACTGGTTCCTCCAACTGTGGTCTGTGGAGAACCAGTGGTCTTACTGATAAAATCTTTATACAAGACCATTGAGTATTCTGTGTAGGGTGGGGGAAGGAGGGCAGGGTGTGCACGCACACACACTTAAAGAATACTCATCCCCCTTCTTGCTATTATGATGTTAAATATTTTATTCTTTGACATTTGTTAAATCGTTTCCCCCTTATGACTATGTCTCTCTTTCTGCTAAATACCCTTACATGAATTTGAAAACAATAAAAATAGTGTAAGTGTCTGAAATAAAAAGCAAGAAACAGACTTTTAAAGTTTACAAGCTATGTTCTTAATGCTAAAACATTCTGTTAGAGAATAAATTTACAAACAACATTTTTGCAAGTCTAAATTAAATCAATATTCACCACACATACACAGGCATGCTCTAAGTGTTGCCAAATATTATTTTAAACAAAAAGTATTATTTTAAAAGTTTAGCCTCATTTTGTATGGTAAGAAAAAATAAACAGATGGTAGCACAGCATATGCCTTTTGGATATTATGATCTTAAAAAGCTGAAATATAAAAAAAATGCTTATGGCTACTTGATTAGTATAGTAAGATATTCTATTTGAAATGCAGAAACAAACACTTAGAATTATGTGTTTACTTGGTGTGTAACAAGGCTTTCAAAGTAAAATTACAGAGAGAGTTCTGAACAGACTAACTGTTCTAATTAACTCTCTTTGTAGTAGGTTGAGTTAAAAAAATTCCCTTACAGCAATTGTTAATTAAGCCTCCTGTCTTATTTTAGTACCTGAATAACAAGTGTTATAGCCGCTCTAAAAATAAACAATATTACCTAGTAATTGCTATTATCAAATATACTACCATTCTGATGTTAAATAAGAAATACTTTACCGCTAATTATATGTGGAAAGTCATTATTCTAATGATATATTTTATTTTCACCTCAGAAATACTTAAATATCTAGCTTAAGAAGCATTTTTGGAGAATAAGGGAATTATATCACCTGTCCTTCAGGTTAACTATGTAATATTTTGCTGCCTGAATTCATAGCGTTTGATCAGAAGGGGTTGTTAAAGGAACACACACAAGTGGTAGAACAATGACACAGATAAAGTCCTTGAGGAAAACAAGGGACAAGCTGTTTATTGGGAAATATCCATTACATACCAGGGTACAGTCCAGTCACAGTGGTCACCCCTACCCTGCAACCTTGAGTGTCTTACCATGCCTTGTGAGCTCCCACCTGGGCTGCTCACAAATAGCTTTCCAGCATGCAAGCCACACCCTGAGTGACCGAGTGTAACTGCAGCCTGCCAGCCACACGTGGGTTACACTCTGGCTTTCACCAGCCTTGGCTACATTGCAAGGTGACCTCAATACACCCCAATCTCAGATTTTCCCCAAAAATGTATGTCTTGTATTGCCCAATTCTCTTCTGGACAGTACAAATGTTTTAAGTCTGTTATTCCTTAAAGGGAATAATATGTCATTTTATTATATCAAGTAGTTATTCAGACACTTCCCTTTAAATATACTGGATTTGATAAAATAATAAAGTAAATTTTAAAACTACAAAGAGATAGATTTTAAGTGAATACAAGTAATGTGGCATAAATCAGAAATAAGTCTGGCATAAGTCAGAAAAATAAGAATAAAACATTTATTAATGTCTAACAAACTACATTAGATTCCAGCAAAGTTTCTCACCACATGCTCCAGCAGACTGCTGACCAAACTATCAGGTTAGGACCTTTCCCTCCAGATTCCAGTACCTTCTTCCTGTGTCTCTTCAGGTGCTGTGAATACAACAGGCGGTGAGGGAGCCTTAGGATGTTTTTCTCTCCTTTTTATAGTTTCAGTTCCCCTCTTGAAAAACATTTCCAGTTGAAAACAGGAGCCAGAAAGTCTATGTGGAAGGACATTCCCTTCTGTTTTTTTTTTTCCAACTGTTTGAACTTCCTTTGTTTCCCTTCCTGCTTGATGACTCTGTTTACTACTTAAATGAAAATTAAGCAGAGCACACATTCCTTTTTTGGGACAGATGTGTTTGCCAACTTCTGATTGGGCAGGGTTGTGGGCTTTGGAACATGTGTTAATAACACCATACAGGGGAACCTTATAACTTCACATACAATTTTGCCACACATATTTTACCAGGACAATATTGACTAGCAAATTATGAATTTTCAAATGATACCTTACAAGGCATACTTAGTACAAAAATTATGAGAATAGCGTGTAGGATGAGAATACAGGGGTGTATTCTATCTAGGGTTGCCAACCCTCCAGGATTGTCCTGGAGTCTCCAGGAATTTATCTTTAATTAAAGATTATGTCATGTGATGAGACCTCCAGGAACACATCCAAACAAAAGGTGTTGGAAGCCAACCCTGTTACCTGAAAGCATACTCAATAAGGACAAAAAGGGTGTCTCAGGCGTGGCTTACCCTGTAAATGTGACACCATATGTGGTATAAAGATAACTCTGAAGCACCGTTTTTCCCTCTTAATTCAAAATGCTTCTAACAGGGTGGAATACACAGGGTTAACAATGCACACTACAGTAACTTCTCACTAAACATTGTATTTATGTTCCTGAAAAATGCTACTTTAAGCGAAACGATGTTAAGCAAATCCAATTTCCCTATAAGAACTAATGTAAATAGGGGGGGTTAGGTTCCAGGGAATTTTTTTTCACCAGACAAAAGACAGTATATTTTGTGTGTATATATATACACACACATATATACAGTATAAGTTTTAAACAAACAATGTAATACTGTACACAGCAATGATGATTGTGATGCTTGGATGAGGTGGTGGAGGTCAGAGGGTGGAATATTTCCCAGGGAATGCCTTGCTGCTAAATAAAATAGCTCTTGGCTGAGCCCTCAAGAGTTAACACGTTGTTACTGTAGCCTCACACTCTACAGGGCAGCACGAATGGAGGGAGGAGACACAATAGATGCATGGCAGTGGTTGCAAACATTCCCTGCGAAAACTGAACGTGATGATGAACCCATGCTATCCCACTGGAATGCACCACTCCCTTCACTTTCCAAAGTGCTGGTGTGTGTGTGTGGGTGTGTGTGTGTGTGTGAGAGAGAGAGAGAGAGAGAGAGAGAGAAGAAGAGAGAGAGAGAGATGACACACACATGTGTGTGTATGTATGTGTGTGAGTGTGACAGAGTGAG